TGTAAAAGTGTGCTTGTATGTTATTAGTTATAGGAAGCACGGCGATTGGGTCGGTGGCATTTTGTAGTTCGACTATTGTCGATTTTTCGTGTGACTTTAGAATGTATTTTCCTGGTAAACAATTGTGGAAGTTTTTGGCAAGGACTTAAAACTCATCAGTTTTGATAGTTTCAAGTGGATCACATGTTGTATGTGCACTGTTTTACTTAGAAATCTGAAAAGAAGAAATGAAGAATAGTTATGTACTAAAAGATTTGTGTTTTTTTGTCTTTTTGATAATTAATTAGAAGACAATGACTTGAATTGTTGCATGAAATGCATATGGGAGAATTGAGAATGTGGGAGTAAGATTGAAATAGAGACTACAAGCATAATTTGCATACTTGAAACAAGAAATATTATACATGAGCATGGCTTCCTTATGTGAAGAACAATGTCAAAGCACCAGACTATAACTTTCCCATAGAAAATGAATTCTATAGGAATGATACCCCAAAAAAATACCAACTTTGAAAAGATAAAGAAATACAAAGAGAAGACAATAAAACTTTCAGAAGTAAGCAATTTCTTACTCAGTTTGACAGTTTCATTAATCAATTTCATGCACTATATCATTCTTATAAACTAGTACGTGGCCCGTGCGATGCACGGGTAAATAATATTAAATAATAATTATAAATTGACGATATAGGTAAATAATATGTATTCGTTTAGGATTTTGAGTGCCACTTTGAGATTTTTTAAGATTTGAGACTTTTAAGATGGTCAAATCCTAGAGGAATACTATGAAATCTTAAGTGTGAATGTGAGATTTAGAGTGAAATTTTGTATAATTTTTTTTTTTTTTAAATCATAACTAATCTTAAAAAGTCCTAACAAATCTTGATCTCAAATAAGTTAAACATTTAAGGATATTTTAAGATTTTTTTAATTTTTAAAGATCAAAGATGAACCGCTTTTGTTACCAAAAAATGTGGACACAATTTTGAATGTACATCCCGTCTAAATATCAGTTTTATTCTAAAATAAAAATTGAACGTGGTTTTATTCAATTTACACACTTTTTTTTTCAAGAAAAAATTATTCAATAAGATTGAAAGAATTAGTTAAGAATTATACAACTATTTGTTTCCAAAATTTGTATCCAATTTGTACGGTTTTTAAGTTAATTTGTATTTAGAATTGTTTTCATAAATAATTGACACATCTTTTGCATAAGAATCTCTAAATTTGTTACCAAAAAATATATGATTTAAATTTTGGTAAAAAAATAAAATATGATACGAAAAAAATAAAATATGATACGAAAAAAATGGGATTCAAATTTTGCTATAAGAATCTCCAAATTTGTTACCAAAAAAATAGGATTTAGATTTTGTTACTAAAGATTCACATGTGTCTTTTTGAACTTTCCATTAATAGTAAGTCAAACATTATATTTATTTGGTCAAACTTTCTATTAATGTATTTTTCCAACAACCTCTTTATATAGATATAGATATAGATATAGATATAGATATAAATATATATATATATAGATATAAATATATATATATATATATATAGATAAGCACTTCTAAACACATACAAATATATAGATTAGATACTTCCTTTTGACCTGATTGGAACTTTTGTACAAAAATTGTTTCACCATTAAAGATTATGAATTGATGACCAATGTGTTATGTGTGCCTGGTAAGTAGTAGTTGAAGTAATTAATTTACCTAAAAGCAAAGAAAATAAATGGTGAATAAGTAAGTAATCATGGAGAAGTTGGCGGTAGGCTACAGTAGGTTGTGTATTATAAAGAGTTTCAAATCTTCCAAATTAATGAAATCCCCATGACCATGTGCAAGATTTTAAAACTTGGTCCAAAAATAGGAAAAAAAACAGCAAATTGTAGAAAAATACTATAATTCATGATAGCTCTAGTAAATAGTAAATACTATAGTTGTAAATAAGTTGAGCCTAGCTCAAGTTCAAGCTCTTATCGAGTCGAGTTTGTTCAGCTAACGAGCCGATAAACGAGTTAAAAGCCTTAACGAGTCAATATATGATATAAAGTTAGTAAGTTACATAAAAACCTCTATTTATCAAGCTTAACGAGCTCAAGTCGGCTGGTTTGAACCAGAAAACTTACGAGCGGCTCGCTTTATTTATTAATGAGCTCCACCAAATAATATAGTGATTGATTAGAAACACAAGAAAATAGACTCATATTATTAGCAATAAAAACAAGTTAATGTTAGACGGTTGAGTCCCGTTCCAATCCCATTTTCTCTTTTTTCAGAAAACAGCTCATCACTTCCTTAATTGTAACATTGAATTATGCATAAATTAATTATCAATGGCACCGCTGATATAGTAAAAAAAAAAAAAAGTATACAATATTTTTTTTTTCCAGTTTCCTCAATTGGTATTGCTTTCAGGGCTTTCTCAGACGTTCCCCACGTCTGATTTTGGCAAAATCTAAGCGTACGAGAGCAGGTTATATATCTTGAATTTCCAATACTTTTAATAAAGTGTTACACTCAAATGAACCAAATTAGAAGCCGAAAAAAGATATTTTGTTCCAAATCTTGTTTCTTTTCATTTAATTTAATGAATAACATGTGCTAAGTGTTACCAATAGGTTTATTAAAACTTAATTTATTAACATATCAATATATCATAAACTAACTTCAGTATAGAAGCAATGTTGTTAACTTAGATTCATTAATTTATCGTATACTCCAAAATATACTCTCTTTGCAAAACACATCAAGAGAATCTAAAAAAAAAACAGGAAAAGAAAAGTACGAAGATCCAATCATTAAGGTAAGAAAAATGCAAAACCTCAGTGAAACAAACATTAACAAAAAGGCTAATCAAGTCTTGTATTTGAAAAGCCAAAATTAAAAAACCTGTAATTCATCCATTCTTTCTCACATGAAGTAATGATTCCTTTTTGAGGACGTAAAAAATAATTGAAGCACTTTGTACTAAGAGTTTCTGAAAGTTTTTGTTTGTTTCCTGTGCAGAGACAGCTGAAATCTGGGGTTCTTTTCAGGCCCACTCATTGCTGTCTATTTCTATTTCTCTCTCTCTCTCTCGTCCCATCAAAAATCTCTTTCCCTCCTAAGCAAGCCATCATCACAGTTCAAAAGAATATTAAATGTATATGACATAACTTGTCAATTTGAAGAATTTGTGAACTTTTAATTAAGATGGTAAATTGACAAAAAATATATATATACACGGATTCAATGAGACCACTCCTTAAAAAGAGTACGTGAGACCAAAATTAATTAATTTTGATCTAGACAAAATTAATTTTATTATCTTAGCCACTCATTTTGTGTAGATCAAAATTAATTAAAATATACATTAATTAAATAATAAAATAATTATTAGTTGACTCCGGCGTTGACCGTTGACTTCCAGCATTGATGAAAATCGTTGACTTCTGACGTTGATCCATTGACAAATAACCTAGCAGCAAGAAATAAACAATCTATCAATAAAAGATACTCAACTTTGAGTGGTGTAGTAGTTGCATTGTTTGTCTTGCTTCCATGAGGTACCAGGTTCAAATCTTATTGGTTGCAATTTTTTTTTTTAAAAAAAAAACCTAGCAACAAAAGACAATTAACCTAGCAGCAAGAAAGAAATATCCTAGCAATAAAATACAACTAACCTAGCAGCATCAGACAACTAACCTAGCAGTAAGAAAGAAATAAAATACAACTAATACAACTAACCTAGCAGCATAACTAACCTAGCAGCATCAGACAACTAACCTAGCAGCAAGAAAGAAATAAAATACAACTAATACAACTAACCTAGCAGCATCAGACAACTAACCTAGCAGCAAGAAAGAAATAACCTAGCAATAACTTAGCAACAAAATAAAAGCAGCATCAGACAACTAACTTACCACAAAACACAACTAACCTAGCAGCTACAGACAACTAACCTAGCAACAAAAGACAACAAACCTAGCATGCGGTCTTAACCGCGCCCAGCATGATGTCTCGTGCGAGAGCTTCGCATCTAGTGCCTTCGTTCTCTATGACAGACAGGAGACAGCCCCGGAGATGGGGCAACCCGCTAGTGCGGCTCTTGGTTAGACTGCCCAGCCAGACGACACGCAGGCCACGAGCACCTAGCGAGGCAGGCAGTCTACGAGGACCAGAGCCACGCAGCACCTAGCATGCGGTCTTAACCGCGCCCAGCATGATGTCTCGTGCGAGAGCTTCGCATCTAGTGCCTTCGTTCTCTATGACAGACAGGAGACAGCCCCGGAGATGGGGCAACCTGCTAGTGCCGCTCTTGGTCAGACTGCCCAGCCAGACGACACGCAGGCCACGAGCACTTATTGAAGCAGGTAGTCTACGAGGACCAGAGCCACGCAGCGCACGACGCGACGGACTGTCTCCCCTGCTATTGGATCCTTCCGCCACATTCATTCTTCAGGTGGCCCGACCCAGCCTCGCCACAGGCGGACTATGTCCGGTGGCCGTTGCGACCGTTGACATGTCTATCACATCCATTACTTGGAATGGCCGTGGCCTGGCGAATAGCGCTACTCTCTCTCACCTCCATTCTCTCATTCGTGACCATAGACTCGATTTTGTTGGCTTTATTGAGCCGATGATTCACACCCCTTCTTTTGATTACTACTTGCGTCGCCTTGGCTTTCACTCGGGCGTGGGTAATATTTCGCTTAAGATCTGGATCTTTCACTCGCGTGATTACACTTGTCGGGTCCTCCGAGACACCGATCAGGTGCTTCACGTTGAGCTTTTCGCTGCCCACCTCCCGGAGTCCATCTTTCACACCTTGGTTTATGCCAAGTGTACTAGGGTCGGGCACTATGATCTTTAGGACACCCTACGTAAGATTGCAGAGAGTATGGAGGGATTGCCATGGATGGTTAGTGACGATTTTAACATCTTTCTGCATCCCGATGAGCGCGTGGGTGGCCGTTCGGACCGGTCACGGGAGATGTGGGAT